AAAAAAAAAAAAAAAAAAAAAAAAAAAAAAAAAAAAAAAAAAAAAAAAAAAAAAAAAAAAAAAAAAAAAAAAAAAGTCAATGACCTAATAACAATAATAAATAAAAAGTTTTAAATAGACCAGCGCTTCAACTTTTATTCATTTTAGTCTCCGTATTTATTATTATATATATATATATTTAGAGACCAATAAGAAAGGCAGGCTCTATCTCAATGACGGATTATCTCCAAAAAAAGAAAAAGCATCGCGAATTATCTATCTGCAATCTTCGTGAACGGACTTCTCATAATAATGGTCGTAAATGTGGTCGTGGACGTGGAAACTCTATTCTTAGCCACCTCTCCTCCTTTCTATGCTCCGCAAGGCTCTGATCAAGACCTTTGCCTACTCCAGTGTAGTATAAGCTATGTTTTTAATTCTTTCATACTACTCGCAATATATATATATACTGTTAAGATATTATATGACGAAAAAAAACACGGTCTTCTCAAATGATAAGTACGAATGATCATATGACCTAAGAAATTGACCAATATGAATTATCCAACCCAAATCATAAACGTTATAGTTTGAGTTAAATTTTTGAAAAATCGATAAAATTTCAATTAATTTACAGATTAATTTTTTTTTTTGTTGAGTCAACTCAGCCAATTCAAGCAAATAAAAAATAGAGTTAACAACTTTACCCTACTTTTAAAACTATTATAAAAATTAAAAATATTTAACTCTTGTAACCAATGTCATTAATATATCGTGACTTGTGAATATTTGGTATTTGAACTTTATAAAATGTTAAAGATTTTTTAAAAATAATTAAAATAAAATATTTTTTAGCCAATTAAAAAGGAAAATAAAAGTCAACGGTCAATCCTCGTACTAACAAAGTCTCCACCATTATTGGAGAAAACTGTTTTAAACCCAAAAATAGTCCAAATTTCACCCTATAAATATGTTCTCCCCATCCTCTTCTTCCTCACCCCCTGCATTCAATTACTACTTACCAATAAAACCCAAATAAAAATAAATAAATAAAAAGGGAAATTTCCCTCTTGTTCTTCAGCAACAGGCCTTTCTCTAAACTCCCTTTTACCCCCCCTTTTCATCATGGAAATGAAGAACTTCGCCTCCGCTGCAATCGTCGCCATCGCCGCCGCCTCCCTGACCATGGCTTTGGCCTCCACTGAAGTTGCAGCCCCGGCACCCGGCCCCTCCAGCGCTGCTGCTGCTGCTACCGTCCCTGTCGTCGGCACGTTGCTAGGTGCCTCTGTTGCCTCTCTTATTGCCTTCTGCCTTCAGTAACTGAGCTTGGCAGCTTGAGGAAGGGGGAGAATAAATCAATGTGGGGTGATTCTTGTGGGTTTCTTGTTCTTGTTTTTTTTGTCAGTTTTTGATTCTTGTGTAATAAATTGATCCCTTTCAATGAAATGAATTGTTTCAACTTCAAATTGTTAATCTTTCGATCGAACAAACAAAAGCGTATTGAAAACTCTTTAGGATACTAAGGTCCGTCGTTTGATTTCTGCGACGATATCAGACTCTTTGTTAACCAGATTGCTGTTTCTCTCGACGATACCGCTTCTTCTCCGAATGGACTCAGCACACCAGCAAGTTCTTCGAGCTTGTCTTGCTTGAGTAACCGTGCACATAGCTCGAGTAGAGACTCCAGCGCATCGGCTCTTCTCTGGCTTGGATATTCGGATTCCGACAGGATACAATCTGCATGTGTTTCTTCTGTTAGTGTACTACGAGCAACTCTCTCCTGGTTCAAGCAGCTTCTCGGTTCGACATTGAAGCGTTTATCATCGGAAGATCCGGACTTTTCAGCACTGCGTATGGAGGATATCGATGATTCCATTGGGTTCCCTTCACTAGTTTCCTCAGCCTTCGTTCCCGGTTCGTTGCAACTTGTTTTCGGTACGTCCTCCAATCGAGGTTCTTTCTGCGAAGAATTCGTACACCGGATGCTATTTCCACCATTGCAAGTCGATGTCACAGACGCTGAACTCGTTTGCGCATCAGTATCAACAGCATTTGATGTGGATATTTCATCAGGAAAGGATGTAGGATCGACCATCTTCGTCTCGAGTATGTCTTCCGAAATAGCTGTTAACGACATATTTTCTTCAGTTGACGAGTTGCTATTATGTATGTCAGCACTTCCGGCCACCAGATCCATATTTTCCAGCAGGTTGAAAACTACGCTCGGTTTGGCTCGGCTCTCATGCCCACTATTCAACTTGTTAGATGGCGATTTTCGCGGTGTTTTATTCTTCGAGTCGGGACATATCGGTAGTATATTAGCCGAAGCGTTGCGGCATTGAAGGACATACGGTTGGATATGTGGATGCCTCAATAATTCAGCAGCCTAAATATAAATTAAGCCATGGATTAGAAGCAAAATGATCATTCAACGAGTCGAAATCGCATCACTCACCGTCGGTCTGTGTCCGGGATTCTTCCGTAGCATGCTCTTGATGATCTGTTTCCTGCAAGTCGAAACGAACAGTCTCGAAGTCTTAAAATAGCGGAAAATACACTGTTTTTAGCTGAAAAATCAATAGAAATAGCTTACAACGCAGAGGAATAAACAATTGGGAGAGGAGAAATGGAGGATCTGTTAATTTTATTGATAAGACCAGCCATGTCCTGTTGAATTAAGCATAAATCAATCAGGAGTCGAGCAAAACGGATGAAATTCACGAGACCGAAGCTTAAGCTTACCGGAGCTCGAAACGCAGGTTGATGAGCAGAAATTTCAAACATACAGCAACCTGGAAAAAACACGGTTTATTACTATCCAAGAACACGGATATCAACCAAGAATCGTGTTGCCATGAACGCTTACCAAGTGACCATATATCGGACTTGTAGCCATAAGGTATATCTGTGAGGAGCTCGGGGCACATGTAATTAGGAGTACCAACAACCTACAGAACATATATTAGCGTCGAGTACAATCAAATTATTATTCCGGAACTATTACGTAATTACTTTATCTCTATGATCTTGAATGAAACATTCTTTATAAGCGGGAAATTCTTCCTAGTAGAGGACAATATTTGCTAGCGGGCTTCGGCTTTTACAAATGGGAGGGGGTGGATTGTGAGATCCCACGTTGATTGGAGAGTGAAACGAGTGTCAACGACAATATTATTTGCTAGCGGTAGGCTTAAGCTTTTACAAATGGTAGGGGATGGATTGTGAGATCCCACGTCGATTGGAGACGGAAACGAGTGCCAACGAGACCGCTGACCCCAAAGCGGGGTGGGATTGTGACATCCCACATCTATTTGGAAGGAGAACGAAGTATCTTTATAAGGGTGTGGAAACCTCCCCTAGCTGACGCGTTCCCCTCAAGGGAAAGCCCAAAGAGGAACAACATCTGCCAACGGTGTGCTTGGGCCGTTACATTAATAATAGTTTCCTCCATTCTGCTTGCTCCTCCCCTAGGAGACACGTTCCCTTCAAGGGAAAGTCCAAAGCGAACAATATCGGTCAGCGGTGGGCTTGGGCTGTGAAACCACGACCCTCCACAATGATGACATTTTCCACTTTGATCCTAAGCTTCGTGGCTTTACTTTTGATGTATTCCTTACTTATAAACTCATGATCATCCTCTTAAATAGTCGATGTGGGACTCCCCCTCAACAATCCTCCCCTCGAACAAAGTACACTACAGAGCCTCCCCTGAGACCTATAAAACCCTCAAACAACCTTCCCTTAATCGAGGCTCGACTCCTCTAGAGCCCTCGAACAAATTACACCATTTGTTCGACACTTACTCACCTTTAACTATACCTTTGAGACCCAACAACTTATTCGTTCGACACTTGAGGATTTGATTGACATCGCTAAGTTAAGGGCATGAGTCCGATACCATGTTAGGAATCACGATCCTTCACAAAGGTATGATATTTATCCACTTCGAGCATAAGCTCTCAACCCATGATCATCCTCTTAATTAGCCAACGTACAACTCCGTAAGTTAAACATTCTAAGTCCTTTGTCAGACCCGATTTTAACAGCATAAAAGATACGTTTGTTGATTAAAACGCTTTCTATCGCAAAATAACTACAGACGATGATCGCATCCTTACCGATGAAGCAAGATCTTCCGTATTCAGTAGTTTTGCAAGTCCGAAGTCCCCTACACATGCCACCCATTCAAGATATTAGCACTTTTCAAGAACAAATAGCTAGCAAATTGGAAGCCATCATACCAAGCCTGATATCATTGCCCTTTGTAAGGAAAATGTTGGAACACTGAAATGAAGAACAAAAGATCAGAATCATTAATGAGATTTTTGTAGGTTAATAATACGGAATAAATACCTTAAGATCTCTATGGAGCACTCGATTCGAGTGGAGGTAGTCCACAGCTAGTAACAACTGCGCCAACCACTTGCAAAGTTTCTGAGGAAAAAAGAATTGGTCATCGGGCATAGATTCGGTATAGAAAGAATAGTTGAGAACGTGCTCGACTTACTTCCTCGGGAAAGTATGTTCCTTTGGCCTTTTTGATCAGTTCGGACCTGCTCAACAAAAGAAAATGGGGCATGCCATTAGTCTTAGAGTTTTCTTCTCATTCCTTTATCCATTCAATGTTAAGTGATAAGATTAATGTTGATTTTTTGTCATCAAAGAATTTTTGTTTTTGTTTTTGTTATTTATGGCATATAGAAGGGTTCTTGATGAGTGACCATCCCTCAGCAATCTCTTTGGAGGATACCTAATCTTCGGTCAAATGGTCATGTTGTCAACCACATGAGAATAAGATGTTGACAATGGGAAGTGTGAGATCCTACATCGATTGGAGAGAGGAACGAGTGTTAGCGAGGACATTGGGCACCAAAGGGAGTGGATTGTGAGATCCCACATTGGTTGGGGTGGAAACCACTCCCTAGAGACGCGTTTTAAAAATCTTGAGGGGAAGTCTGAACGGGAAAACCCAAATTGGACAATATCTGTTAGTGGTGGTGGGCTTGGGCGGTTACTCCGTTGTCTGCTTTGGTCTGTTACGTATCGCCGTCAGCTTCACTGTTTTAAAACGCGTCTACTAGGGAGAAGTCTCCACACTCTTATATGGAATGTTTCGTCTTCCTCTCCAACCAAAGTGGGATCTCACAATCCACCCCCTAAAACGCGTCTACTAGGGAGAAGTCTCCACACTCTTATATGGAATGTTTCGTCTTCCTCTCCAACCAAAGTGGGATCTCACAATCCACCCCCTTTGGAGGCCAGCGTTCTCACAGGCACACCACCCGGTGTCTGGCTTTGATACCATTTGTAACAACCCAAGCCCACCGCTAGCAGATATTGTCTGCTTTGGTCCGTTACGTATCGTCGTCAGTCTCACGATTTTAAAACGCGTTTACTAGGGAGAAGTCTCCACACTCTTATATGGAATGTTTCATTTTCCACTCCAAACGATGTGAGATCTCACAATCCACCCCCCTTGGAGGCAACGTCCTCGCTGGCACACCGCCCGGTGTCTGGCTTTGATACCATTTGTAACAGCCCAAGCCCACCGCTAGCAGATATTGTCCGCTTTGGCCCGTTACGTATCGCCGTCAGTCTCACGATTTTAAAACGCGTCTACTAGGGAGAAGTCTCCACACTCTTATATGGAATGTTTCGTTTTCCTCTCCAACCGAAGTGGGATCTCACAATCCACCCCCCTTGGAGGCCAGCGTCCTCGCAGGCACACCACCCAGTGTCTGGCTTTGATACCATTTGTAACAACCCAAGCTCACCGCTAGCAGATATTGTCCGCTTTGGCCCGTTACGTATCGTCATCAGTCTCACGATTTTAAAACGCGTCTACTACGGAGAAGTCTCCACACTCTTGTATGGAATGTTTCATTTTCCACTCCAAACGATGTGGGATCTCACAATCCACCCCCCTTGGAGGCAGCGTCCTCACTGGCACACCGCCCGGTGTCTGACTTTGATACCATTTGCAACCGCCCAAGCCCACCGCTAGCAAATATTGTCCGCTTTGGCCCGTTACGTATCGCCGTCAGCCTCACAATTTTAAAACACATCTACAATAGAGAGGTCTCCACACTCTTATAAGGAATGCTTTGTTCTCTTCTCCAACCGATGTGGGATCTCACAACAGGAAGGGAACGAGTAAAACGAGAGACGGTGAGAGGGAGAATTTTGTAGCCATTTTCTTTTGAATTTATACCAATGGGAAGGATTTTTTTAACCAAATTTTTATCCTGTTGCAAACAGTGGATGATAGTGGAAGACATGAGAAGGTTCATGTAGTTGGAAAAATAAATTGAACAACTTTTGTTCTCTAATTAAGTCAACAACAAACAATTAAGCTACTGCTTTAAAGGTCGTAATGAAGCATACTCCAAATGGTGTAAAGTTAAATAGCTCACTTACATGTCTCCTCCTTCGCAATAGCCCGTTACGATGCATATACAATCACCCTACAAAACAGAACGCCCGAGATATGAAATGTAGAGCAAGTGAAAACGAGAATGCAGAGAAATCACCGAGGTATAAGTATATTCTAGTAATGGCTCAAGCCCACTGCTAGTAGATATTATCCTTTTTTGGCCCTTTCGGGCTTCCCCTCAAGGTTTTTAAAACACGTCTAAGAGAAAGGAATGTTCAACCGATGTGTGATCTCACTATCCACCCCCCTTGGGGGCCCAACGTCCTTGTTGGAACACCGCCCGATGTCTGGCTCTGATACCATTAGTAATAGCCAAAGTCCACTGCTAGCCGAGATTGTCTTCTTTGGGCTTTTCCTTTTGAGCTTCCCTCAATTTTAAAACGTGTCTACTAGGAAGAGGTTTCCACGCCCTTATAAGGAATGTTCAGCCAATGTGGGGATCTCGCAATCCATCCCCTTGGGGGCCCAACGTCCTCGTTGGCACACCGCCCGGTATTTGGCTTTGATACCATTTGTAACAGCCAAAGTTCATGCAGATATTGTCGTTTTTGGGCTTTCCCTTTTGGGCTTCTCCTCAAGGTTTTTAAAACGTTGTCTACTAAAAAAAGGTTTCCATACCCTTATAAGGAATGTCCAACCAACGTGGGATCTCACAATCCACCTCCTTGGGAGACCAATGTCCTCGCTGGCACACCGCCCGGTATCTGGCTCTAATATCATTTGTAATAGCCAAAGTCCATTACTAGCAGATATTGTCCTTTTTAGGCTTTCCGTTTTGGGCTTCTCCTCAAGGTTTTTAAAACGCGTCTACTAAAAAAGGTTTTCATACTCTTATAATGAATGTCCAATAGATGTGGGATCTCACAATCCACCCCCTTAGGAGCCCAACGTCGTAGTTGACACACCGCCCGTAGTCTCGCTCTAGTACCATTTGTAACAACCAAAGTCCACTGTTAGTAGATATCGTCCTCTTTGGGATTTCCCTTTCGGGTTCTCTGCAAGGTTTTTAAAACGCATCTACTAGGAAGAGGTTTCCACACCCTTATAAGCAATATCCAATCGATGTGGGATCTCACAATCCACCCCTCGGGGCCAAACGGAAAACGTAAAAGAAAGAAAATCTACATATTATACGCAAAAGGTAGGCTAAAAGAAAATCTACATAAGAACTAAGAAAACAATTCTTAATGTAAAAGAAACAGATTCAATCCAGATTTGAATAGTAGGAAAAAGAAAGAAAATATACCTTATCCACCCATGAATCTTTGTAGTCCACAATGTATGGGTGATTTAATGTTGCAATCAAATTCATCTGAAATTGAGAAGGTCACATGAATAAATATATATATAGTTACACATCAACTAATTATGTTAATTCCGACAAGAAAATGCGTCAAGTTCATGCCGAGGATGAAAACGAGGTATCCATTTCTTTCGATTTCGAGCCAGCTAAGCACACTCGACTTGTCATTCACGACAACCCCCCAATCCAACAAGACATAATATCAAGAGGCTCCTAAGATATTCAACATCCTCTACGTTACCACTATAGTTTGAAAAATGACCTTAGTATCTAGGTGTTCAACTAGCACCTTTAACCATTGTACGATATCTTATTAGTTACAACTCGAGATAAGTGAGAGAGTTTGCCATGTCGGGGGAAGTTTAGGAGAGATGGAGAAACCCAATAGCTGTCGATCAGGGAAAACCAATCCTATAGCTCCTCTGCTTCCCGTTCTTTCTATTATCCCATGTTCTTTTGGGACAGACGGCTAACACTAATCTAATAAGTTCGGTCGTCGTCTAACCAATTGGCTTAGACACCAGACCACTTGTGTCAGCTCCATAACCATACGGGCTCGCCCTAAATAGAATGGCTCTCTTAGTTGCGCTACGTCCTAACCCGAGTCCCCATGTCCACGCTTCTCCGCCCACAACCCAAGAAGTTGGCTGTACCAACACAACATATCCTAATCTTGTTCCCTATGCCCACATTTGTAGACATAAACTTTCTTTTTTCTCGACGGTCTATGTGATATGTTTTGGATCGTTAAGCATTGCTGTTGAACATGATGCAGGCTGTAATAGTCCAAGCCCACCACTAGCAAATATTGCCCTCTTTGGGCTTTCCCTTCGGGGCTTCCCCTCAAGGTTTTTACAACACGTCTACTAGGGAGAGGTTTCCACACTCTTATAAAGAATGTTTTGTTCTCCTCCCCAACCGATGTGGAATCCCACACAAACAGTGACTCATAATTCAAACATTTCTCATATAAGTTTTCAATAAACTAACCTCCTGGTGTGCAGTGCGCTTGAACTTCTCCGTTTGTTTAGCCAAGCGAATTTTCTTGAGTACATACCTATTTAAGAAAGTAGGTAAATATTAAGAGAAGCACTACATACACCGAACGTTTCGTGGTGCCACAACACCGAACCATTTGCTTCATTTCAACGCTTAGAAAACAAGGTATCGATCTCGAATTACCCTTTTCTCAAGTCTTTCTTCGTTTACCGTGAAAGAACAGTGAAAAAAGATTCGAGACCAAGTTTAGTTCTAAAGATAAGGGTGGTTCCATTTTCTAGGAATCACGAACCTCCACAATGGTATGATATTGTCCACTTTGAGCATAAGCTCTCGTGGGTTTGCTTTAAGTTTCCCCAAAAGACCTTACTCTTAATTAACCGATGTGGGACTCCTCTCCCGACAATCCTCAACACCGTTAACAATAGAGAATGAAACTAACCATGATCTCTCAATTATTACATGGAAGTATGAACATCAGGGTATATTACTTACTTTTTCTTCTCAATCTTATGGTAAACAAGAAAAGCTAATCCAAAAGCTCCCCTCCCAATCTGCTCAAGAACTTCATAATCTTCCATCCTGTTCTTCATATCATCATCATCACACTCCATGTCGTCCTTCAAACGCCAAAAAACACAGTGTTAAGGCCAAAACCCCCAAACAAAAACCATTTCGAAATCGAAACCAGTTAGCAAAACTCTCACATGGCGAAAACTTCTTAACAAAAATCAAAATCCAACACCAAATTGGGTAAGTTTGAACCAAAAACTTCCCCCAAAAGCTATAAGTCTTTCAATTATAAGTGGAATTTCCAGAATCTACAGAGACACAATCAATGAGTAAAGCAACCGTGAAATTATGATGATGTTGTAAAGAATGTGAAGGGAATGACAAACTCAAAAGAGAAAGGGAAAGTGGGAAGTTAGGAAGATGAAAGGGAAAAGCAAACCCAAAAGCGTTGCTTCGATTAGCAGATTCATAAGAGCTTCAAATTGAGGGCAGGCAGATGAGATGTCGACAAACCCATTTGAAAGAAGAACAAAATAATCTTACCCTTTTGGAAGAAATTGATGATGGCCCCAAATTCCCACTTCCGGAATGATTTTTCAACTGTTTTTCTCCACTTTTTGCCTCTTTTTTGAGGCAGCTTAGTAAGAGATGCGTAGGAAGCAAGGTTTTGAGAACAAGACCCGGGTTTCTCTCTCCTCTTTCTTATAAACTATTCCCACATCGGAATTGATGAATTTATTTGATTAAACGAAATGGACTTCCTTTGATTTTCAAGAAAAAAAAATTTGGCACGATTTAATCATATATGATATGGGTTTATGCCCGATTTCGGTCGGGTGGGTTCATTGTCCTCGAGTCAAGTACACTTATAAAATAGAGTCTCATACTCATATAGTGTTATTTTTAACATGCTTCGATGGTTAATTTAGTATCTAGTTGAAGTGGTGTTGAGCTGAGTGCGCCGTAGGATTTTGTACCTTTTAAAGTGAGAGTGTTCTTCGATTTATATTGGGCTCTTTTGACATTCCCTTAGGACACATGTGGAGGTTATGGAATGTTATGGGGAGGTATCAAGGTAGGTCTTTTGTGTAACATGGAGGACGTCTTTGGCTTGGTCGTTGTAGCCTTTGAGGCGTTCCTTTCCTTTTCTAGACATGTGGGCTTCAAGGACTTGATGTCTCGAGGAAGATTATCGAAACAAAGAGTTGTGTGGCCATGCATAAGTGTTGACATTATCGTAACTATTCTCTATGATAATTGTGCCTCTCAAGAGGTGTTATTTCACCTTGGCACTTGTGCTTATGTACTGGACTTCTCAAATAGTTGGGATTCCAAGTTTAAGATGTTTTCGGGTATGAAAGTTCATTTTAAAGATGTCTCAAATTTCGGTGGCGGACTGAAATTTTTGCAACCATTCAACCACTTCCCAGATCGCAACCCGTCTCTCACACCTAAACCCCTCAAAATTTCTTTCACAAATCGTATTCTATTAACATATTACAGGAATTCTATCACAATGAGAAAAAAACTTCGTCCAAAGATTCATCACCTATAAGAGTTCTGAACATTTTCTCCTCTCAAATTACGTTGAATAAGGCTCGTAGTTTCCTTTCTAAGTGATATTAGTTTATGTTATGATATTCTAATAAATTTTTGTAATGCATGTACTTCATTTTATTGATCATGTTACACATTCATACGATTATATTTATGCTTAGAGAGACACTATGATGTACCATGTATGTACGAAGGAAATATCATGAACATGTATTCACGTCTCGTAAGGAATTCATGTCATTATAAGTATGGAAGTATAATTCACATAATTTCACAGAACCATGATTTTCAATACGACACCTCATTCATGTGGTATCTCACATGAGCATCGTTTACTTCTCTAGTATGTTAAATGCATACACGTACACTATAATATCATACGTGTTCGGAGGCATGCTTTAGCCATAGTCAAACCTAGGGAGTATACATACGAGTCTACCAAGTGAACTCATGCACATGTGTGAACCATATATAGAGAAATACTATGCATTCAACCTTACCTAAAAAATAAAGTAGAGTCCAACGAACAGACATGAAAAGTAGGTCCCACCCATTATGAGACATGTCATATTTGTTCCATTGTTAGCATATACCAATAGTTTTTAGGATGTTTTCTTTCTTATTTCAATTATGTTTTTTTATGTTCGTAAGATTTTTAATAGTCTCACTAGACGTTCAGACAACTCTTCAGCCCAAAACCTTTTAATTATATTTAAGTTATTATGTTGTTAATATAGTTACCAAAACATTAATGTGTCATGTTTTTTATTTATCTAACTTTTTATAAAGATGATGTTAACTCAGCTAAAAATTTGTCAAACACCATTCAAAAAATTCAAATTTGTAAATACTTTTAACTTATAATTTAGGTTAACCAACAAAGGAGTAGAAGTACAAATCATGAACAAGCGAGATTGATAAGCTAAAATCGATACGATCTATGAAATCAAGAAATTTACGAAGTAAGATGAAATAATGTTTGAATTTCGAGTAATTATTTGACAAATTTGGGTTTTTGATCCAAAAAACAAATAAAAAACAAAGCAAAGTTGTTTGTGTTGGATAATCACCCAAGTTAAACCAAAAGAAGGGCCAACTTATGGTTGCTTTTAAGTGAGAAAAGAAAGAACTAAAGAGGTTCCTAAAAAGGATTAAATTAAGAACACATCTTTTCATTCGTGCAAGCCATTAGTATAAAATTGTCGGCATAATTTTCAATAAGGAGAAATGGTAGGGCCTATAAAACAAAAATAAGAATAATTGAGTTTATTTCGATATATCATGAACGGAGTTCGTATGATCTGAAATCCGACTAATTTAAATTATCCAACTCAAATCATAAAGGTTAGACTGTATTAGATAATTTTTTTTCAGTTTGGTTTATGTTGAATTTTCGAACAACAGAAAATTTCGTTGGTTTGCATGTTGACATGTTCTTGTCAAGTCAACCCGACCAATAAAAAAATAGGGTTACAATCCAACCCGATCTTACTTTTAAAAATATTTAACGTCTGTAACCGATTTCAGTAATGGGTTCCACTGTCCCTGAATTGATTATGCCCACGACTTGTTTCAGAGAGTGCTCCAATGGCATTTGAGGCACAATTGAGATGTCATTTTGGGGGTTATCATAGAGGAACGATCCAATATAAGACAAGTGATGAGACAGAGGAATTCCCCACGATGAGAGGGACGACCTCAGTCCAATGCCACTCAGAAGTAGAAGTTGTGGGCTTCCGAGAGCCCCAACACAGAGGATCACCTCTCCCTTTTCACGCACCATTACATGACCCTTTTTGGTCGCAAAAAATAACTCCAATTGTCGATTGCCTCGATCTGCGAAGAAGAGGCTAAATGACTCGTAAATGTTTTGATATTTGAATTTTATGAGATGTATAAAAAAAATAACTCGACAACTCATCCCAACACAACTGAAAAATAGAGCGTTGGGTTGGATTACATTGGAAACTTCATTCAAATTGTTCTAATCATAACAATTTTGAGTTGATACAAAAGAATTTTTAAAATAATCTGAATAACTTTTGAACTTTGAGGTGATTTTTTAATATATAATTTTCGTTTTTAGTTCTTAAACTTTGGAGTAATTTGGATTCGATATAATATATATATATATATATAGAAATTTTGAAGACTCATACCGAGAATGTCTCGGTGGGTCGTTTTAGGAGAAGCTAAGTACCGAATGTATGTCACAAATGAAAGTATATGATATATAAACTGTGATATACCTATAATTTGTCTCTAAAACGTGATCCGAGGCTCGAGTATATGTCAATATTGTCCGTAAAGTCCAAATTTTTTATATACAATTCACGCACACGTGCGTGAACCCACTAGGTGAGCTCGTATACATATCCTATAGGTCCGACTACAGGTAGAACATGCTCATGCTGCCAGAAAATTATGAAAAAAAGGAATGTGTACCATATCATGGTGTACGTATTACGTACAAAAATATACTGGAGAAGTATCTCACACTCTGTAAGATACAAACATGCACGAGGGTTTCGCATTTGAAATGATGGTACATGGTTATGATACGCATTATACTTTCATACTTTTCATGACATATCATTCATAGTTAACATATATGATTCATCATTCTCCCATAGGACAAACATGAAGATTCGATATTTTGGAAGATACTATGTGTTAGTCATACATCCTACAATTCATCCAACCTAGCTAGAAAGCGTTCCAACAATAAGCTCACTTACATTGTTGGCCTCAGCTGGAATCACTAAGATGATGTTCGTTTAGTCCTGCTTATCGTGCTATGGTTCCAAGATTGTTGGACTGTTTAATGGACGTATGAATTAATCTTGATCATGGGATTAAGACTTTTAATACAGTGGTGTGGTTTACCGAGCATAAAGTAGACTGTTGATTTTGAGTGTAATGGTCAAAGCCTACTACTAGCAGACAATGTCCTCTTTGAATTTTTAATTCTGGGCTTTCCCTCAAAGTTTTTAAAACACGTCTGCTAGGGAGAATTTTCCGCACCCTTACAAAAAAATGCTTCCTTACCCTTTTCTATCGATGTGGGATCTCACAATCCACCCGATTGACTATGTTAGGCCTCGCTTTCTATGAATTCTGGGCCTATATAAAAGCCCATCTTGAATCTCACCCTATGAACCCGAGCGTATGTTTGAATTCAAAATTTGAAGACAAGCAGCACGGAAACAAACGAAACAAGTTTTAAAAATACACGAAATAGAGACCCTAAAACCTCTTCACCCTCTTTCTCTTTCTACTTTTCTCTCTCATTTACGTCTCCAGTCTCAAATTCTCCGATTATCAGAGGGTTTATCTCCTTGCAATAGGGTGTGTTCGACCTTACCCATATCATAATTTCTTGTTTTTGTTTTGATTTTGATTAGTTTATGGCTACTTTCATATGTTTGATCTTGTGGGTTTTTGATTTTTGTTGCGATGAAGCAGATTTTAAGCTTTGTTTTTCCTCTCCAGGATCATCTGAGCTAACAGGTTAGTTGTCTGCCTCTGTTTCTTACTCTTGATTGACTGTTCGTCGATTTTGTTTACATCTTTTTCAGATGGGGATTGGGTTATTATTTGCTTAGTTGATTTGTCTGTCTAGCACGTTTCTTTTCTTATGTTGGGTTTTCTCTGGATTTCTGGTGTTTGTAGTTATGATGAATTAGTGTTCTTACTGTGGGAATTTGGGGTTAGGAATCACGAACCTTCACAATGGTATGATATTGTCCACTTTGAGCGTAAGCTTTCATGGACTTGCTTTTGGTTTCCCAAAAGGCCTCGTACCAATAGAGATGTATTCCTTGTTTATAAATCCACGAGACCCCTTGATTAGTAGATATGAGATTCCTTTCCCAACAATCCTTCTCTTGAACAAAGTGCACCATGGAGCCTCCCCTAAGGCCTATGGAGCCCTCGAACAACCTTCCCTTAATCGAGGCTCGACTCCTTCTTTGGAGCTTTTGAACAAAGTAAACCCTTTATTCGATACTTGAGTCACTTTTGACTATACCTTTGAGGCTCACAAGTTCTTTGTTCGACATTTGAGGATTCTATTGACATGCCTAAGTTAAGGGCATGACTCTGATACCATGTTAGAAATCACGAACCTTCACAATGGTATGATATTGTCCACTTTGAGCATAAGCTCTCATGGCTTTGCTTTTCGTTTTTCCAGAAGGTCTCATACTTCCTTACTCATAAACCCATGATCAACCCCTCAATCAGCAGATGTGGGACTCCTTTCCCAACAATTCTCAACAGTTCTCCCATTGAACAAAGTACACCATAGAGCCTCCCTTGAGGCCTATGGAGCCTTCTAACAACCTCCCCTTAATCGAGGCTCGACTCCTTCTTTGGAGCCATTGAACAAACTACACTCTTTGTTCGACACTTGAGTCATTTTTTACTCCACCTTCGAGGCTCACAGCTTCTTTGTTCGACATTTGAGGATTCTATTGACATGACTAAGTTAAGGGCATGACTTTGATACCATGCTAGGAATCACGAACCTCTACCATGATATGATATTGTTCACTTTGTGTATAAGCTCTCGTAGCTTTGCTTTTGGTTTCCCCAAAAATCCTCGTACCAATAGAGATGTATTCCTTACTTATAAACCTAAGATCAACCCCTTAATTAGTAGATGTAGGACTCGTTTCCGAACAATTTTCAACGTTGAAGCTCTTTGTTAATCTTTTTTTAGATGTTAGAGCATATTGCATTTTGTTTCATATATCTATCCACTCTGTTTTAGTATTGGTTTGAGCTAAGTTGTTTGAATGGAACATGAATTCTAAGTTGGCTAATTTGTTGAAGGGATAGATGTCGATTTTGTGTCGAAAGTTTAAACAGAACGACGTTGTATGTATTGCTGCTATCATCTCTTGCAGGAGGTTTGAGAAGATGGAGTCTCATGACCAGACAGGATGCCGAACTCCGGAATGCCCCATGCCTTGCGTTAACAACTGTGGCTTCTTCGGACGGGGATCGACGATGAACATGTGTTCTAAATGCTACAAGGACGCTCTGCTCAAACAAGAACAAGAAAAACTTGCAGCCTCATCTATTGAGAACATTATGAATGGAAGTTCAAGTAACAACGGGAAGGAGCCTGTCGTTACAGAATTGATCGATGTACAGGCCGGAGTTACGGAGACTAAGATATCTTCAATAGAATCATCCAGCATTTCCTCCTCGAACAAGAGCTGTGAAGAAGTCAGCATGAAAGAGCGCCCGAACCGATGTGCCACTTGTAGAAAGCGCGTTGGTTTGACTGGGTTCGATTGCAAATGTGGGAATCTCTTCTGTGCTGTTCATCGTTATTTCGACAAACATAACTGTGATTTTGATTATCGCGCTGCTGCTCAGGACGCCATTGCTAAAGAAAATCCTGTTGTTAAGGCTGAGAAGCTCGATAAGATTTGAAGTCGATGCCCAACGCTTTAAGACCTACGCATCTCGGTCCATGCTGGACGTTTCCTTTACCAGGCATCGATGGTATTATATCACGGAAGTCGTGATGGGTGGATCTTTGAAGTCCTGGACATGGCAAAGGTTCCATTGTTGGCTTCATTGTGTGATTTCTTTGTGGATTTAATGAATTCATGAGTTTCCTCTGCAATGACATTCTACTCTGTATGCATTTCTTTACCCATTATGTTAAATGGTATTTGCCCTTTTACTTGTTCGCCTTGTCAATGATTGATTTGTGCGGCTTTTATCTGATGCTTCTTAGACATTTTTGAAGCTCGTTCGGTTAAGGATGTTGTGAGATCCCACGTTGGTTAGAGAAGAGATCGAAACATTCTTTATAAGGGTGTAGAAACCTCTCCCTAGTAGACGTGTTTTAAAACTGTCAAGTTATGACATTACGTAACGGGCCAAAGTGGACAATATCGACTAGCGGTGGACTTTGGCTGTCACAAATGATATCAGAGTTAGGCATCGAGTAGTGTGCTACTGAGGAAGCTGAGCCTCGAAGGGGGGTGGATTATGAGATCCCACCTCGGTTGGATAGGGGAATGAAGCATTCTTTATAAGGGTGTGGAAACCTTCCCTTGTTTTAAAATTGTGACGGTGATACGTAATGGGTCAAACTAGACAATATTTGCTAGCGGTGGACTTGAGCTGATATAAATAGGATTAAAACCAAACACCGAGCAGTGTGCTAGCGAGGATGCATCCACCCTGATTCTAAACAAGTTGAACTTATTGACTCACAGAAAGCTAGACTAAGGGTAATTCCAACTCTGATCAACAAGTTAGACTAAGAGTGGTTCCAACTATGATTGTAATAGCCTGAGCCAACCGCTAGCAGATATTGTCCGTTTTGGCTCGTTACGTATCGCCATCAACTTCACAGTTTTAAAATGCATCTGCTATGAATAAGTTTTTACACTCTTATAAAGAATGCTTCGTTTCTCTCTCTGACCTTCCAAATGGTTCGTTCTTTTTTTTTTTTTCAATAAATGTTTTTCACAATATTATTAATAACTATTAATTAAATATAAAAAAGTATTAATATAATATATTTTATTTTTACCCTCCTATGGGCAGTCTTGAGCAAGGAGGAGATTCTTGATTGAGACGAGAACAGGAAAGGGAGTGAGAACATTTTTTCCCTAGTAGGGCATGAGATTATATTATCTGTCCTCGTTCATCCCGTTTAATACAAATATATATTTAACCCATATTATATAAAATAAATTTTCACGACAATTCTTATAACGACCCAGATCTACCGCTAGCTGATATTGTCCTCTTTGGACTTCCCCTCAAGACTTTAAAACGCGTCTACTAGGGGAAGGTTTCCACACCCTTATAAATTGTGGTTTCTTCTCCTCCCCAACCAATTTGGGACATCACAATCCACCCCCTTCGAGGCCCAGTGTCCTCGCTGGCACTCTTTCCTTCCTCCTATCGATGTGGGACTGCCCATAAATCAACTCCCTTTGGGGCCCAGCATCTTTATTGGCGGGACCGCCCCCAAATCCACCCCCATTTGGAAGCAAAAAGTAAGTAACATGATCCTATCGTACCAGACATAAGGGTCTCAAATATCAAATCTCGACTCGAATCTTAAATATATATAAATTTTATATCGGAAGAAATGATGTAACAATTGTAGATGAGAAAGCTTATTACTTACAAAAGTAATAAAATGATTTCAAATCATATTTCAATATAAATTATTTAAAATCTAATATAATGACCAAACAAAAGTAATTGACAAAATATATATATATATAAAAATGTCATTATGTTTCATAATCATTCACTTACAAAAAGAAAAAAGAGAATGATCTTTTATTATTTTGTCTTGACTAAGATATAAGCATACATTATATATTGCTACAAATGTCAAATCAAATTATTAATTTAATATTTTTAATTATTGTGTCTATTACTATGTATTTAATTTTAATAAATTAGGCTAAATTAATAAAAATATCTGTAAATTAATATTTTATTTAAAAAATACTCTCGAACTTTCAAAATTATTTAAAAAATTCTTTTAATGTTAAGTATTTAATATTGTTTTCTTTGTGCTTTCCCTTTCCAGCTTGTCCTCAAGGCTTTAAAACACGTCTATTACGGAAAGGTTTCCACACCCTTATATATGGTGGTTTGTTCTCCTCCCCAACCAATGTGAGACATCACAATAGCCCAAAGAGGACAATAACTGCTAGCGGTGGATCTGGGTCGTTACAAATGGTATCAGAGCCAGACACCGGACGATGTGTCAGCCTTCTCGCTGTTCCTCGAAGGGGGTAGACACGAGGTGGTGTGCTAGTAAGGACGCTGGCCCCAAAGGGGGGTGGATTTGGGGGTGGTCCCACATCGATTGGAGGAAGAAAAGAGTGCCAGCGAGGACGCTGGGTCCTGAAAGGGGGTGGATTGTGATGTCCCACATTGGTTGGGAGGAGAACAAACCACCATATATAAGGGTGTGGAAACCTTCCCCTAACAAACGTGTTTTAAAGCCTCAAGGGCAAGCCCTAAAGAAAAAGCCCAAAGAGGGCAAAGTCGATACACAATTTAAATCCATATATTGGCGTAAGAATTTTTTTAATTTTTAATAATATTTTTAGGATAAAAAGTTTAAATATTATTATTATTTTTAATTTAAAGCAAATTTTAGCAGTATTTTAATTAATAGGTGAAATAAATGAGCAATGAATGCATTTAATTAATGAAGGGGGAAGGCTTCTTGGAATAGGCCGGAAAATAAGGGAAAGAATCTTGACACAGACAGGGTAACAATTTTGGCAAGATCTTGCCGGGGAACTGCAGCTTTTAACTTTTACCCTTACTGTCAGCAGTAAAACCACCGCCACAACTAAATAAGTCAGCGTTCCCCAAAGCTCAACTGCCGCCCCCTTTCTTTTTTTTACCGTTTCTCTTTTCCTCTTTTTACCGTTTTCATGTTTTTTTACACTTCCACCTAGAAGGAGGTAACGGTAAGATTCCACATCAGTTGAAGAGGAGAACGAAACCTTTTTTTTAATAAGGGTGTGAAAATCTCTTCCTAACAGACGCATTCTAAAAATTGTGAGGTTGACGGCGATATGTAACGGATTAAAACAGACAAGCTATGATGCGTTTGAGTAGTCGACATTGTCCGCTTTGGCCTGCTACAGTAATTCACACATGTGGCTATGTCGAACTAGCTATGATGTGTTTGAGGGCTGTTACAATAACTCACACATGTGTCTATGTCAAACTAGTTGTGATGCTTAAGTCATCAAGGTGACAACCCATGAAAGGATTATACGTCGGTAGCACCCTTGTTTTCGTTCATCGTCTAGTCGAGATCATACCTAATTGATAGATTGCTACAACATGTATGTCGTGACTACTATGTGCGAAAAATGATTAAAAATGTTTCACTTAAAAAAAAAACATGGACTTAAATGTTCATAAAGACGGTGATCTAAGCGTGGAAAACTAAACCAACAGGGCTTGGTTCTATGGCCTCCTCAACTACCGTCATCATCCATACATATAACCCTTGCCTTTATCTTAAAACAATATCGGGTTTGTATATGCATCTCAGTAGTTGATATTATTTGGTTCATCCGTAGGGACTATTAGAGGGTTGCCAACTAATTTCTTGTCGTTAACTGTCTAGATAGATAGAGTATACATATGCATCTCAATAGTCTGTTGAGATACGGGATTGCTAACCTCTAATAGTGATTGATCAGGCTAAATGTATCTTAGGGGTTCATTACGGTTCTCATGCAATAAAAGAGGATTAACCACACACCTCGACTGTGACTTACTTGTTTGTTAGAGGACTAGCTGGACCTATAGAGATGAGAGCTGTTTTTATATATTTGACGGAATCCCTAAACCCATTAAAGATATATTGTATTGAACCGTTTAACGAGTGACTACATACGAAAAGACGGGTCGTAGAAAGTAGAGTGGTTAAGGAAAGTTGAAATGTGTTTAGGGTTTAGGGTTTAAAAGGGTAGGTGGAAGGTCATATCTCTCGTTCTTTTCTTTTGATTAATAATATCACTTAGGATTCTTTTTCATACTTTTCTCATAACATAATTTGAAATTAATCAAAATAAATTTCAAACATCACTCGATTGTTTACACCTAATTTCTCGACCTTTTAAAATTTGAAATTATTTATAAAAAATTTGTAGATTTTATTTGACCTCGAACGAATGAACAAAAAAAAAATTCGATTATCATTAGAGGTTCGAAATGTTGACTCTGTTGATCGAGAATTTGAGATACTGTCTAACTCATGTCGCCTTGTACTCTCCAATCTTACTTATGCCTCAACTTGTCGTTAATGTATACTCTTCTTGGTGTGTTAGATGATGCATCCTCCTCTTCGATCGCATCATGACACTTATCTATTTCGACCCTCACATAGTCGGTTTGACGACAACTGAGAGTCGCCATCTTGTCGATCTGCATGTGGGATTCACAACCTATTGTCTTCTTAATGAGATTGTGACACTTAACACCCGCTTCACTCAATTAGTGTAGTGGGAAGCTACCGAGTTTGTGTGTTAGATGATGCATCGTCCTCTTCGATCGCAATCTATCTCGACCCTCGGTTTGACACAAACTGAGAGTCGTCATCTTATTAGTCTACATGTGAGAGTTGTTAGACGAACACGACTCTCCACAATGGTATGATATTGTCCACTTTGAGCATAAGCTCTCATGGCTTTGCTTTGGGCTTCCCCAAAAGGTCTCATTCCAATGGAGTTAGTATTCCTCACTTATAAACCCATGATCACACCCTAAATTAGTCGATGTGGGACTTCCATCATCCAACAAGAGTCACAACCTATTGTCTTCTTAATGAGGTCGTGACATCTAGCACTAGCTTCACTCAATTAGTATAGTGAGAAGCAACCCGCTTGAAAGAGCTAGCTAAAAACTCCGCTTCTTCCTTTCTTTCACTTAGTAAAGCGATTTTGCTCCTCGCTCGAGACAGAAAATGTTGAGATTTGAAACCACTGTCCCGATCATAATAAATAAATAATTTTATGGAGTAGACCAAAGTTCGAATATTTATATTCAAAAAGGACTCCATGAAGCATAGATTTGAGATGAAAGACGAAGACTTCTTGTTACAATACAAAGAAAAATGAGAGAAATGTTATTATAATTGCTCCAAATGTTTCAACTTTTTGGCATTTATTCGCCAAAAAAAAA